ATCCAATTATGAGTGAGTGAATTAATTGAGTTTAGTTATTTAGCTTAGAAAGAATTTCTTTTATTTTTGTTATTATTGGCAGTAATCAGATAAAGCTGTTTTTTTATCTTATTCACCTGATATCTTACTCTTGCTCAAAGATCATTTTGAAAATGTTGATTAAATAAAATTGTATTAATGCATTTCCAGTCCTTTTGTTTTCTATTTTTTATTCTATTTTATGATTTTGTTTCAGAGTTGTGATTTTTAAGGAAATTAAATAATAATTTTCTAAAATATAACATGCACATACTTTTTTTGATCATTGTATTGTTGATTATCATTCACGTCACATCGCTTCGGAATAGAAACCAGCTTAATTTACACTATGTTGTGTATTGTGCTTAAATTATGGATTGTATTCATCATTTCGGTCCATATAAATAATTATATGGCACCTACCTATATATCGCAGTACTGCGAGTTGACAACCCTTACAAATATCCCAATTTAACCCTTAACCGTGTCAATTTACCCCGGACGCTGGGTAAATTGGGACGGCCATTATTTTACCGATTATTTCTTTAAAATGAATAATGAAAATAATGTAACGGTTTTTATCACCTAGGTACGTTCAAGACTCAACTTATTTTTTTGGTTGAGCAGTGACTATTTAATTGGAACTATGTTAAAATTCAATCTGAAGTTCGATTTTGTCCCTATTTACCCCATTCTACGGTATTATATTAAGTGATCTGTGCAATGCAGCCTTAGGCCATAGATTACACAGTGGCACTAAAAACAATAAAACACAAATCTACCGTTCAATATATTCATAAGTACATACATTATTATTTTTACTATTAATGGTATTAAGTGCATATTACAATTATTGTTAATAGCAGTAAATAATAACAAATCAGTTATTAGATCAATAACAACGTGCGTCGTCATGGATGACATAGAAAAGCTGAGTTGCAGTAAGAAAAATAATCTATAAACCTCTTGTAATCAAAGCTTACTTTTCTAAATTAAATAGAAATACAAANCATTTATTTTATTCATCATCACTTCATTATGTTCAATGAAAGTGAGATTTGAGAGTGGATGAGAATCAAAATTGATCTTTTAAATCTTTTTCAATTGTTTTTTTAAATCACTTTTTAAATCAGACCTGTCTTTGGTCTTTTATAACAAAATAAAAAATTTGGATCTATGGCGCATTTACTATATTGATAAAATTAAAGTGTAAGTCAAAACTAAACAAAATATAAAAAACCAATGGACAAGAATATCAGGTATCAAACTGTCATGTCATACTGAAACTGAAAATGAACAATCATCCTATTAATCGAGGTAAATTCATTAATAGTTTATGCAACACGCTTGCTCTGCTACTTTCTGGTTACCATAGATAATTGACTTAGCACATACCATGACATGGGGTAAATTGGGATCCTGGGGTAAATTGGGACAAACCTGCGGAAGATTCTCAAAGTACCTGTAGGACGGAATCTACCTAATTTTGTTTATGTTAATATTTATCAATGTATAGAAGAAAAACCAAGTTAACTATGGAAGTACTAAATATGAATTAAGTTGGTCCCAAAAATTCGTCAAATTAAATTGAAAATAGTGGTTGAAAAGTGCGTTTTAAAACAGCTTACAAAACTTTTAAAAAAAGTAATATTATCGTTGTTTTTTCAATAAGATCACAGTTTATNAAATAGAAATACAAAACCAGGACATAAATTAATGTTTCAGGAGAAGAGATTTTAGAAATGAGTGATCTGGAGCACTCTGCAACCGACGATTTTAGAGAAACGGAAGGAAAATCAAAAAAGAAGAAAAGAAGACGCCGCGAAATAGATATGGTAAGGAAATTAAGAATTTAATTCGTAAATAAACTGATTAGTTTATAATTACAATCAAAAAAAATGAACGAATTTTTTTACAGAAATGTGTGCCATGCACTTAGAATTACATAAATCCCATACTGTTGCTGCTGCGATGCTCGTTTTTCAGTGTTATAATAATTTCGCACAACAGCTTATAGATTGTGTTTGACCAACAATTATCACAACTTAATATACAACGGGATGTAATTGGAGTCCAGCCAGATAATCGATACTTGTCGAGTAACTTACCGTCAGGTCAAGACTTAAATCACATGCTCAGTAATACCAACATGTAATAAATTAACCTTTCTTTTCTTTCTAGAACTCAGGGAAGCATATTTTTAAAAAGGTATGCATATAGATCATAAAAATTATAAAAGAGAACAAATTACTGAAAACCACTTAAAACTACTTTAATTAATACACCCCGCAACATACAAGCGATCTCGCTCAGTGAACTAATAGTATTCACAGAAACCTGGTTTTTCTTTTCTAAATAGCAATCTAGTTTTATTTATGTTTGTTCTAATTTAATTCTAGTTCTATTGAGAGTGAATATAATGTCTTTAGAGTTAATATACCTAAGGCCCTTCTAAGGCCAATCAACCCTCTTGAATCCAACAGGTGAGTTTACCAGGAGAATAATATTTTTCATATCATGGTGATTACCAACTCCAAATCCAAACTGATTCACAATAATAATTACAGATAAAGCTGTCAGATGACGATGAGACAGATGATGAGACTATGATGAAAAAAATGATGCGGAACTTCAGCCCCGGACCTAACTCACCAGCTTCTCACAGAGAACCACGGACTTGTGTCCTGAAGGTAACTATAAAACAATAACAAAAATTGTAGTTAGATACTGCAGTATTTTAATGATAATTTTTTGTTTTAAATGTATAAATCTATTTTAAGAGTTTTATTTTTATTTTGTGGAAGTAAATGAGCTCACAGCTGTCCAAGAATAAAATACTTACTGGAACTTGTAGGCCTCATAACCACCTTGAAGTATGAGGTTCAGGTCTCAATGGTATTGTTAATAACTGTTCAATTATTTGTAACACATGATCTCTTTTGTTCTAAAATACAATTTACAAAATTAGGTTGATATCATTTTTATTGATATTATTATTTATTAAGTTATTCCTTCATTGTGGCAATAATTTGTGAACATTTGTTACTTCCCTACATAAATTTATACCTGTATGTGGTAATTTATTAGTTGCATTGTCACATTGCTTGATGTGAAAACACCTGACATTCACATCAAATTCTAAAGATGTTGATTAAAAAATCTTTAGGCCAGAGCAGACTAATGAACCAGTCATTCTCATATTATGGTGCTCCATGACTTTTCTAGTTGAGTACAATATTTTGGCATATTTTATAATTACAAGCGACAACTCAATTTACAGGCTAGTCAAAAACGTCGTCCACTCTCCCGTTTGCTTGAACAGCTACTACGGAACTTAGAGAAAAGAGACCCACACCAGTTCTTTGCTTGGCCCGTCAATGATAACTTTGCACCAGGCTACTCCACCATCATCAAGAAACCCATGGATTTCTCTACTATGAAGCAGAAGATTGATGATAATGAATACAAATCCCTTAATTGTTTTATTGTGAGTACTACATACTATATTACATGTGGCATAGAGAATAGCGGTGATAGTCTTTAGGCCCTGATTAAATTTGTGTTCACAAACTAATGGAACATTTGATTGTGATGTGTCTTTTGTAGTTTTCTGCATGTTTTATTTATTTATTACACTATTTTGATAAACAATCGTGCTGTCTGCTTGCTTTATATTGATTAACAGAACCCATAGAGGTCACAATAATATGATTACTGCAACTTACATGTTGAGGCTGAGGTTTCATTTTACTACAAAACAGAACTCCTTTGAGATATGTTGTACAGAGGCTCGTAATACACCCTACTAATCACAATCATGCAGCAGTCTCGTTGCTTAAATGATTACACTGACACGTGTTAACTGGACATGAAGGGTGTCTGCGATCATTGCATTCAAGTGTTTGGACACTTGGTCCAACTTCCTCAAATGACTACGCCTCTTGACTGAATCATTTCCAAATATCTCAGAATAATAACGTTTCTTTAGATTTCCGAACGGTACCAAAAACGTAACACCGTAATATTGTGTTTTATTTATGAATAAAAATGATTATTTTCAGAGCGACTTCAAACTGATGTGCAACAATGCCATGAAGTACAACAAACCAGGCACCGTGTACCACAAGGCAGCGCGGAGACTCTTGCACGCCGGCCTCAAGCAGCTCACTCCGCAGAAACTGAGGCCACTGGGAGACATCCTCACCTATATGTACGAGATACCCATTAGAGAGCTAGGATTCGACATGGGGAAAATGGATGTGGTAAGATAATAATAATAAAGTTTTTAGTCCCATTCCAAGTTTTCACTTGAGAACATAAAGTAATAACATTAATATCAACTTAAAGTTACATATTATGTAAATGTCTTCAAAGAAGTCTACATATTATTCCACTCCGATTTGTTGCCACTATAGTTCTGTGAACCATGACCTTTTTAACTGTGGATGGCTAACAATCCACTTGCTGTATGCACTAAAATAACTTACAAATATTCCGCCACTTATCGTGCAGATGTATCAGATCATAAATTAGTTACTTTCATATACTATTCTTAAGAAACCTCTAATATTGAATTTTCATCAGGCATACACGTGATAAAAATACATTAAAATAGTTGGAAAATGTGAATGAATAATATTATATGCATATGTTTTTATGTAAAAATATGAACTTTTTGCAATGCAGCCCGGTAGGACGTATGGCAGAAAGGTGACAGTTTTAATATTAGAATGAGTAATGGACGCGAATCGATAAGAAACAACTTTGTTACGCAAGCTGTGGCCGGTGCATGAGTGAGACACATATTCACACGGCTTCCTCTGCCGTCAATTATATTTCTTAAAGCTTTATCCGTCGCGAAAATCCATTGACCTCGTACTGGAACTGATTTTAACTAACTTACATAAAAGCATAATTCTGGTAGGCAGCAGCTTGGCTCTGCCCCTGGCATTGCTGAAGTCCATGGGCGACGGTAACCACTCACCATCAGGTGGGCCGTGTCTGCCTATAAGGGCAATAGAAAAAATAAAAATAAATAGAAGGTAGTTTCAAAATCATATATTAAAAAAAAGGTCATATTTTTTAGATTCAAAAGAGATGTTTGCTTTCGTAATTCCGCACACTACAGTAGCTGTACCAGCTGAGACTATTCAGTGTTGCAACTTCTCTATCGCAAACTATTCTAATGTTTTGTACAAATGACATTTTCATGACAGTAAATCCAATATACCTATTTAATGTCAAGTCAATGACAATTCATTAAAAATACATATTACAATGGGTATGAATCAAACTCCAGTAGTCATACCGTAATCATGTAGCTGTTTATGAGCTGGTGACCACTTAACACCAGATAGATCTGCCCTTGACCACTCGTCTATGCAATAAACTTAATTCCGGACTAAATTAACCAATACCTTAAAAACGAAATAACGTGGTTTAATTTATCCATACTATATTGTAAAAACGAAAGTAAATCTGTTAAGTCTCAAAGTAATCTGTTCATATGCTCAAACAACTGAACCGATTTTGACGAGTTTCGCTGTGGAAACAGTTTGAACCAGTTTATGATTGTACGTAACATAATCAGCTCTTTCAAAAATTTAACTATTAAATTAACACTTTATGCTTCTCACTCATGTACTTTGTCACTGATAATTTTGTAAATATAAAAAAGAAAACTCTAGATATATTCTTAAATAGTAAAAACCAATGAAATGCTAACAAAGTAGTTGTCTTAAAATATTTGCTCCGTTTTTTTTGCGAGAAGTAGCAGAAACAGTATAGCGAACTTTTTGTTTGTTAGTAAACGCTTTGACATAAACATTAGAGGTGTGTGTTGTGACCTCCACCACACGTACTGCATGTCCTTACTGTGCCGAGTGCCTTTACGCTAATCTAGTTGCGCGACCACAAGTTAACATAAATATAATTATGTTCATCATTTATGTTAAAGTAATTTTCAAAAGAAATGGAGGAGGCCTTTGCCAAAGTTGAGCAAACAGACGACGTTGTCAAAGTCATCGACTCGGCTGAGTCGTTAATCTATGTTTAATATTTGTAAATATCATTTTTGCCTCTAAATAAAGGCTTTTATTATTATAATTATGAATTTTCAAAATAAGAATATTCAATTCGTTTCATTCTAAAGTAAAAGAAGTGACGTTAATGCAGAGATTAGCTTAAAGACACTCTAAGACGAGAGATGCTTGCGCACGCCGCCCCACGTGTAGCGACATACAGTCGTTGTGTACCCCAGCAGAGGGTGCTCAAACGGAACAGCCCCGTGAAGAGCGGGGGCTCCGAGCCCGAGGGCCCCGGGGACCCGGACTCCGTCAAGATACACATGGAGGCCGCGCGCGAGCAGCACCGCCGGAGACTCGCCAAGAAAGGTCTCAACACATTCCAGCACATTCCACTGCCCTGTACTTTATTGTACCGTCCGTGTATTATTTTTTTTGCTTATCTACGTGGACGAGCTCACAATCCATCTGGTATTAAGTGGTTACTGGAGCCCATAGACATCTACAACGTAAATGCGCCACCCACCTCGAGATATAAATTCTAAGGTCTCAAGTGTAGTTACAACGGCAGCCCTGCCCTTCAAACGAAACGCATTACTGCTTCACGGCAGAAATAAGCAGGGTGGTGGTACCTACCCGCGCGGACTCACAAAAGGTCCTACCACCAGTACAATATGTTTTGTTGTTGAGACAAAAAAAAAACAATTGTTTTTGAGATCATTAAAGGTTTCAACAATTTTTTTTACAAATGACCTTCAAAACAATTACTCCCTTTTTCCTGAAATTGTCTGAAGTCATTGATCGTTGTGGTACGATATGTAAAACAAATTTAAAAGATCTAACTTAAATAGTTTAATGATCGCATCTCGTGGAAGTGAGTCGGTGGGTGCGAGGGACCCAGCCGCATCCTACTCGTGGCTGAAGGACCTTGCACGAATAGTACCCATACATACTGCTCTGTCAAGAAAGTACCGGGAAAAGATCAATAATATACGAAATATTAGTTATTCATTCAAATTTATTTCATCACCTTTAAATTGCTTTTTATTATAAACATTTTTTTAAACATATTTCGGGTTTTTTGAGTTCGGTTCTCGCCGTGAATTCTTCTTTATGTTTTCTACCGAATGAAAACGAGTAAGAAAAGTAAAAAAGATTACGTTCAGAATGCTGGACTTGTACGAAGGCACATTAAGAACAATTTTTCAACAAATCTGGCCTTTTTTTATCGAAATTGCTCTCTTAAGCCTCGATCAAACAATAGTCTTTATTCACCGTTTGATAAAAACGTGTTTTTGATAAAGTCGATTCACCGAAAGAAAACCTGTAACATTTTGAGTGACTCCGCACACGAAATTCCATTGACGATGCAAATTTTAAAACAAACTCTTTCTTAGATGTTTTGTTTTTGTTTATTATGAAATTCGCAATAAACACTAGATGTGGTATAATTAATTAAAAACAATCAACACAAAATCCGCGCCAAAATGGAACACAGATAAAACAATCTAACACCAATAAAAAAAAATTGAGTTTGGAACCATAAACACATCATCCATTCCCGGTACTTTTTTGATTGAATGTAACTGTCTGTGTGTGTACACAATAGGGTCAACCTAAAACTGCTGTATTTACCTAATTCTAATTTAACTTTGGAGAGCAAGATTCAAGGCTAATTAATTAAATATTTCAATGTTTTACAGCGGGTCTTTATTGATTTTAAATAATTAAATCATGATTCAGCATTGTCAGTTAGATACAAACTAAATCAATACGTGACAATTCGTAAGGGCCACAGGTAAATACTGAGTAATTTTCTCATGATAGCCTTTCCGAGAATGGACGCGGAAGGGAAGACAACATTGTGCCTGGTCACCAACACGGTTGAGGGGAACGGTGAAGACAAACCCATGACCCTTGGAAAACTCATCGGGAAACTGAATCAGGGGACAGGAACTTTACACAGTAAGACAATAATATAAATCAATATCGAATTAAAAAGCAAAATTATTATTTAATTTTTTTGTATCCAGAAAATGTACTGGTCGTGATCTGTGACCTTAGGGGATAACCTGATGATAGGGGAATAACCTGATGATAGTACTGATGTTAAATGTTGGAAACTATAATATTTAGTTCCCAAATTGTGTTGTAGATTTGAAACTGGGAAATGTGTGTGATAATATTCAATACTATCTAGTTTGAAATTGTTACAATAGCATTAACATAATATACTATTCACAAAGTGAATTTAGGTTCTGAACTATAGTCTATTATTAAAACTGAAACCCTATAGAGTCAAGGTGTGAAGTGGTTAGCAGAGCTGCGACTACGACTGGAATAACATCTTAGTTCCTGAGGTCGAGTCATATTTTGATTGATAGCCAGGTGTACCAGGTGAACCCCATAGGGTTTCAGTTTTAATATCACTGAATATATTTAAAAAACTAGCATAACAATGATATTACTAAATTACATTGTTGCCAATATTTATTACATAAAGAGAACATGGGCTTAATGCAATAAACAATCTAATAATGCTCTCTTATTATTGTACGCTCTCTTCTCTTAACTTTATTATAGAATAAAGAACGTTATTGTGCCCGTAATTATTGTAATGTCATGAAACTTATGGTGGCACTTTCGAGGTAGGTGTTTGTTATAAATCTAGCGATAGTTGTTGCTGACCGCGGACAAGTGTCACTCGGTTGTTCCTAACTCGGCAGCTCCACGGGAAGACCGTCGCAACGTGGCGAAGGGCGTGAAGCCCTTGAACTACGGCCCCTTCAGCTCGTACGCGCCCTCCTACGACGGAACCTTCGCCACCCTCACCAAGGAGGAGTCGCACCTCATCTATCACACGCTACGTGAGTCTAGCACGGGGGTCGGGAATTTGGACGTCCTCACAAAATCTATTTATAATATTGTTACGCTCTGGGGTTCGGGATAAATAAAAATTCTACCGAAGTACAAATTAAATCTGTATTACCACTTAAAACACTTAACGAACACTCAAATTCTTAATTCAATTCTTCCGCTTCGCTTCAGGTGATCCGTTCGCTGTATTGCTATGAGTAGTTCCGATTACTAACTGACTGCGTTACATCCCTGCTACACGTTATATTATATTCGATACGACGTCCCTAGAATTATCGAGAACATTCCTCACAAGTCGAGTATTTTCGATATGCGTTCCCGTTATTTGACAATAGATGACGTACTTCTCGAGCGTTTTTGAATTTACTAGTTCTTTTGGTATTCGTTTCCACTATTCGATGACAGATGGCGTTGCTCTTACTCGCGTAACAATATATAAATAGATATATAATTAATACAAAAATAATTTTAGTAAAATATCCGAATTTCCCCCTAAAACTCGATGCAGTATCTGTCGATATTGACTTCACAATTCAGAACCCAAAGGTTGCTATGAACATACCTTTTGCTGCAGGCAATTTAACACCATAAAATATTTAGTGACAAAACTGGTAAAAATCACCCTGGTTGAAACCAGGGTGAAAAGGTTTTTATAAGAAGTAAATTGGTTGTAGCTAATCAAATACATAGCTTATCTGTTTAAACTGCAGAAAAACTTTTTTTATACTATTGTGATACCGAGACCAATTTAATTTACACCCTGTATAAAGTAACCATTAGGTTTAATTATCTCTGGCAACGTTTAACAGCATCAGAAACGGGACTAGGAAACGAGGAGATGCTGCGGTTCGCGCCGGACTCTCCATGGGCCCTGCTCTACGACATGGAGGCGCTGTTCCCGGACAAGAAGCACGCGGCTGAGACCGCCCCCCCGCCCCACGACAACGTACGTACTGCCCCCCCTCGAACTGATAATTCTACTTGACAAATGACACAGATGCAAATTCATATTTGAGTCTTCCCGTATTTTGTTGTAGAATAAAAATTAATTGTTGTAAATATATTAAAAATTTCTTCACATTGAAAATACCATGTGATTAATGTATCTTAGTGGGAGCTCTACGTATTCTGCATTATCGTATCCTTCTCCAAATAATTACCATGAATTATTAATTGGTCAATTGCCATCTATACACATGAATAAAATTGGAGTGTCTGTTTGTAATATTGAAATAACCGCTTTTTACTACGTGCATATGAATATAATATATACGGTACATACAACAAAAATGTTTTATTTTTATTTTTGTCTGTCTGTTTGTTTGTTCCGACTAATCTCTGGAACGGCTGGACCGATTTTGACGAGACTTTCACTGATAGGTAGCTGATGATATAAGGAGTAACTTAGGCTTAATTTAGTAACTTTTTTTAGACCAGCTTCGCCTCGCGGCGTCACCCGCGGTACGACAATAACCGCGGGTAACTTCGCGGGACTCGGCTATCAATAATAAAATTTAATGTTTCCGAAGCGAAGCGAGGGCGGGTCGCTAGTAAAAACTAAAATTGAACTTGGGCTGACAGTGAACTTGTTGATTACTATTATTGATTATATTTATAGGAGCTGTCTAAAGTGAAGATAGACCTGGAGGAGTTGCGCTCGCTGTCGGCGCTGGGCGTGGACGTGGAGTTCGTGGCGGAGGCGGAGCGGGCCGCGCGCGACCTGGGGCTCGGGCCCGCGCTCGCGCACACCGCGCAGCTCTTGCAGCGGTTGCAGCACGAGCAGCACCAGCGGTAATACACTGGACACACACCTTGAGATATCATTTCTAAGCTCTCAGTATACTTACAACGGCTGCCCCGCCCTGCAAACCGGAACGCATTACTGCTTCACGGCAGAAATAGGCAGGGCGGTGGTACCTACCCGGGCAGACATACAAGCGGTCCTACCTCCAGTGATTACGCAAATTATAATTTTGCGGGTTTGATTTTTATTACACAATGTTATCCCTTCACCGTTGAAGTCAATCGTGAATATTTGTTGAGTACGTATCTCATTAGAAAAATTGGTGCCCGCCTGAGATTCGAACACCGGTGCATCGCTCAACACGTATGTACCGGACGTCTTATCCTCTAGGCCACGACGACTTCTACTCACAAGTTTATCAATCATGTCTGGATAACATTATATACCGTGTTGACAGTAGTCTGTGTCTGTCGTCAGGCTGTCGTCCCCGCCGCCGTGGCACCTGTCGCTGTCCCGGGGCGCCAGCGGCTCGGAGCGCGAGGTGGCGCGGCAGACGGCGGCGTGCCTGCGCGCCATGGCGGCCCGCGTCACGCCCGCCGACCTGGTCGACGTCACCGCGCTGCGGAAGGCCATGGGGGTTACACTCGACCATTTGGGTGAGAGAATCTAGACCGTAGTGCGCGCGTCGACACTGCGACGTAGATAATATCATATTATTGTCACGCGCTGAGGTTCGAGATAAATAAAATTTCACCAAAGTACAACATAAAAACTATACAACACTTAGACACTTCACAACCACTTTCTCAATTCACTTGCTCCGCTTCGCTTCAGGTGATCCGTTCGCTGTTTCGCTTAGACTAGTTCCGATTACTAACTGACTGCGTGCCATCCCTACAACGTTTTTATAGCCGATACTTCATCTCTAGAACTATCGAGAATATTGACACTTTTCTAGTAGTCGTTTCCGCTATCTGACAATAGATGGCGTTGTAATTCTCGAGCATTCTAGATCTTCTATGTTCATTCGACAATTCGGCGATAGATGGCGTTACTCTTACCGGCGTAACATGTTTTCTATTCTCAGACACTCCAATGGCCGTGGACGACTTCGAAATGGAAATGCACGAACCTAAGGATTTCATGTCAGATCCTGACTCTATGTCAAGCCACGACAAATAAGTTATTAAATGTAATATGATTAGTGCTAGACTAATGTATGAATAAGGATAATTAATAACAGTGACAACATGAATTATATTTGGTACTATACTATATTTTGTTGTTTTATTCGTTTCCTTTAATCCTGTAACTGTATGACTGAATCGTCCTTAGAAGTTACCAAATACCAATATATCGGATTGGTTGTTCTGTTGGTAGACACCTCGGACTTGGTTCAAACAGCGCTATCTATTGTATTTTTCCATAACTTTTGGGTGTCTCAATAAGTTAATAGATGTCGCTAGAAAATTTTTTCAAAAAGAAATTGAAAATGAGTTTTTTTCCCTCTAGCCTCCTATCTATTCGCCGGTAGCCTTCCAGCTAGGAGTGAGTCTCGTGTTTGCCAAAACATCCATAACAGTTATTAAACTCGTGTGCTTACGATTAAATTCCTTTTTTTATATACTATTTTATTTCGTCTAATATATATACGAGAATGGTATGTTTTATGTTTAAATTTGATAACGATAGCGTTATAAAGATAAACATAATAATACATTCGGGTGTTATTATTGCTAAGTACACCCGCCTATCAATCAAAATATGACTCGACCTCACGACCTAAGATGTTATTCCAGTCGTAGTCGCAGCTCTGCTAACCACTTCACAAATTGACCTCTTAAGTTCACCTAGTCCTACTGCCAAGCTTTTTTTTATTGCTTAGATGGGTGAACGAGCTCACAGCCCACCTGGTATTAAGTGGTTACTGGAGCTCATAGATATCTACGACGTAAATGCGCCACCCACCTTGAGATATAAGTTCTAAGGTCTTAGTATAGTTACAACGGCTGCCCCACCCTTCAAACCGAAACGCATTACTGCTTCTCGACAGAAATAGGCAGGGTGGTGATACCTACCCGCGCGGACTCACAAGAATTCCTACCACCAGTACAAGCTAAGAAAAAATAACTAAATGATTTAAATTATCACCAGTGCGCTCGACCATGAGAACCCTATTTTTATACTGCCCACATTCACCTGTTTTTGGGTGAAAAAAACGAATTTCAAATACCGATCAACCCTCGATTGACTGCGCAAATAGACGCGTGCGACTGACTGCGCGCGTGCGATCACACGCGACACTGCAAAACAATACTTGCAGCACAGAGGGGAGACAGAGTTCACTTTTAAATAACCATGTACTTACGCAATTGCCCTAGGAAGTAAATAATATATTCGACTCATAAAAAAGATAATGGGAATAGGCCCTTTAAAACGAAGTAGCTATTTAGGCTGCTTAGATTTGACATAAGTGCCATTCGATACACCTAGTGTTAAACAGACCATAAATAATTTAAAAAAAAGAAGCTTTAGATTTAAAAGATCATTAATTTTTTTTCTCGGCCTATTCTAGTGAGCTCACGGGCTCTAACCTAGCAAATTCGCTAACACTAGCCCTAGGAAGAGCAGTGACTCGCAGAATCTACCACCGGATCGGAAACGCGACCCACTGAGAAGATCTGTCGAGAAACTCCGTGGGCCTGTGTATGAGGATTAATTTGCTCGCCGAGCCCTTCGTCGCAATCGACTGGTTCGACAAGGATGGTGACCGTTGCTTGAGGTTCCTAAAAGCACCGTTAATGGATCCGGAGGATCCGAAGTGACGTGGTTAGGGCGACGACGGCTGTTTCGTTTACCATTGGGTCCGCCGGCCGGTACCGGCGGCCACGATAAGAGGGTTATGAAAATCTAAAATGATTTCGATACTTAGCAACTATACACTTCTACTAAGTATAGAACTATAGAACGTAGCAGCAACAACCTATTCAGACGCAGTTGGGGTTAATGGCTCCTTTTAAATTATTATAATCCTTTTTCATACAAACAATTCATTATATTTGACTCCATTATATTAAAATCTTTCAGTTCGACAAAAGGTCAAAGTATAAAAACGACATAGGCGAATGAACTCTAGCCATTGAGAGGTAAAATTTTGCAAAATAATGTCTTTATGAATAATTGAAGTTACGACAAAACAATTGTAGCTTATTTTTCGATTTGTCTGGTTTCTTAGAGGTATATTTGTTTTTAATTTCATACGTAGTCATTTTATTGCGCACCACAAATACTGGGAAACCGTGGGAAAACAGTAAAACAATCACTGGTTTAAATGGATGAAACACTCCAGAATGAATTACGGAAAAGTTAAAATACAATACAACCCTGCCACCCCCATACATTCACACGGGAACCTAACTAGACCACAATAATATTAACCCATTTATAAAACGAAAATCATTCTTAAGTCATCGGCCACATGGACTACAAACACAGCACAAATAGATTTGTAATTTACCAAATTAGGTGTAAATGATAATAACCCTTAAAGTCCTACCGAATAAGAGTTGGTATGAAATGTAGGAGTAATGCACACTATTCGAGATTCTCTATTGACCTATAAGTATTTGTTACATAGGGTAGATTATTTATTCTCTTTTTACAGTCAAATGTTTTTTTATCATATTTTTTTCAATCAAAGATTATTAGTATTAAATCAATTTATAGAGTTAAAGAGATTCGCGAGATGACATATGAGTATTCCACAGTTTGTTGGTCTGCCTTAAAAATGGGACATTGGTTAATACATATTATACAGGTTATTTCTGATATGTAAATTTTCGCGGAAAACGGATAAATAGAAATTTCTAACTATTGATAGAGACCAACAATGTCTCATTATTTTTATTATTTTATTTAATAAGATGAATAAGCTCACGGCCCAGTGGTTGCTAAGCGGTTGCACAAAGGGAATGCCAAAACTTAGTTTGTCACACCGTAGAAGTCTAAATAGATTTGCGTAACGGCCTGTCGAAACGCATGATTGCTTCGCGGTAGAAGTGGCAGAATGGTGGTTCTTACCCGTATGGGCTTAGAATGCGCCCCTACCACCAGTACAAGCACCCTGATCGATATAGTCAGCAGATGTTATATTCTATCTTGTTACCAATGAATCGACTCTGAATGCTTCCTCAATAAACTCTCTGTCGGTCGCCCCTTAGTCCCGCTGCGTTTTTCCTTAAAAAGCCGCTTTATTGAATTGTTTTGTTATAAATTCGACTGTTCCTCGCGTATCTCTTGATTAAAATTAGCAAAGCTGAAATCTCTGACTCCATCACAAAATTCAGACCCAGAACAATAATAAACAATAAATATTTACTAAAAATCACACCACGTTAACTGGTCCCGTGCTAAGTTCGTAAAGAACTTGTGTTACAGGTACCAGATAACGGAAATATATGTAAGATTTTTATTATACACATACATATATTCAATATACATCCATAACCCTGGAAAAGACATTTTATATTTATTATCATACAAATATCCTCCTTTGGCGGGATTCGAACCCGCGACTTCCTTGTGTAGTGACCATGTCACTTACCACTACACCAGACGGCCGTGAATAAATCGTTGAATCATCTTTTCTGCCTATGTTTTCTTATTTTGTTTTATAATTATATGTCGGTTCTGTTTATTGTAAATATGTGAGTGCCTTTCATGTGACTTACAGTAATCATTACGCTACTTGTTATTATGTCAGTCTTGTTTTATATTTTAACTTTAATACTTATTGGCAGTCTATAGATTAATTAATTAAAATTCAAAGTCAACGACCCTACTAAGTCTTCAGCCTCATGATTTAGGATGAGCGGCTCTTTTCGTAGTCAGTATAACATCAGCACACAGATTGGCAATAATTTGATTTGGTTCATGACGTCAATGTACCGAGCTTTTCTGTGATATAGCTTAAATAAAAACAAACATGCTATCCGCAAACCAGTTGTTATTTTAACGAAAATAAATAAACTTTAGAACTCTATAACAACGTCTTCACTTAGATTTAGTGGTGAACAATTAGAACAGGGATGTATTTTAATATTTCAAGGTCCACACTTTATATGGTTGCACTTTTTTCGAAGCTTTCAATGCTTAAGTCGTACTGAAGATTTAAAACGTACACCCATGGACTACAGTAACCACTAATCATTAGACGGGCTGTATAGTGGTGAGTTTTCGACAACTATACAATAATAAATGATGCGTAATGTATTCGAACCCACTATCAGCTGATGCAGTAGGTATATTTGTGTCGTGCTTCAGGATATTCAAGGGGATTAGATTTAGTCCTACCATCAGGATCGGTACCAGCGAAGGCGTACTTTTGGCCTGCACTACTAACTTAGGTTCGGTCTAGCCGGTGTAATGGAGCTCGATGAGGTTTAATGAGAAGTCAGTTCACCGGGGTGGGTTTTATGGGGCTTACGCAACGCGTCGTCACGCGCGACTCTCTCAACGCGTAGTCTCCTAGAAGTAATTGGAAGAAAAGTAGGACCTCATTCTTCCTCTTCTCTCACTTCTTCTCTGGAGGCACCGAAGTCCAGATAACCCGGTCTATTACACCCCTCGAGTCAGTATCCGTAACACAATTCCACAGTGTAAAAAAAAGTAAGTTATATTTGTACCAACTACGATTTCTTCACAAATATTTTAATAACGATTAAATGTGATTTTCGACTCCTAATTTTAAAGTCGGTTCCATTTTTCTCTGCTTGTTTCTGGTTTGGAAAAAGCCTTTTGTAAATTATCTCTGCTTTTAATATCCGTCTTCAAGATTGAGGTCCAAATTCAGTTCTGTTAGCATCTTTGAAGACACAGTATTTCACAATTCACAATAGCGGTACTTCGAAACCCAGAGCTTATAGAATACAATAGCAAAATCCAGTCGACTATCACCTGTTCAAGAGTCCCATCGAGTTTCTCACGCCCGCAACAACAAAAAAACGGGTTAAATCCGAAATATAAAGAAATATCTACTTCTTTCGTCATTTTAACATCTTTTGTACGTTTTATGTATACGCGAAAGACGGTCCAAGATATACCATTGGGATCAAAGCATTATTCTATGCAAGATGTAAATAAAGTCTTCAGATTAATAACACCACCTTCCTCTTTCTTCTTCTTCCATAAACCACCTTCAAAACACCTATTTATTTCCAACATTCTATAAGATCGGTATTAAAACGGCACTGTTTACTTTTTAATTACTATTTTTATTGCTTAGATGGCTGGACGAGCTCTCAGCCCATTCGGTGTTAAGTGGTCACCGGAGCCCATAGACATAACCAACATAAATGCCGCCAAATTGAGACATAAGTTTTAAGTCCTTAAGTTAACTAAGTTTATTTTATGTACCATGCTCAACCAGTTCATTAACCAGCAATAGTTATTTGCGCGGAACAAGAATTATGCTTATAATCTTAGTTCATTGTATTTTTTGGTTACATTTGCATATTTTCCATATTCAGGTATTGTCCAATTTCTGAAAAGAGAACTGGATTGCAAGCCAACCTACACAAAAAGCGTAAAAACACCTAAGGTTTTTTGTTCAGAATTCTTTAAGAATAAATCTTGTTATTTGTACAACAGCATTGATAAGAGGATTACGCAGAGTACAATACCTTGAAAGGGCGTATTTTACGTGAAATCTGATGCGATTACGGGAGAAGGCATCTTTGGAAGGCTCATAGTAACCTCCGACAGCGTTTCTTATCGTAAAACAGATTGTGATTTATCAGCAAATTTTGTCACTGTTGTTGTTTTGATCATTTTAATTTCCAAATAAAAAAAAAAACTTTACATTGAAGAGCATCGTTGTTCCTCCAAAGTTAAAAAAGCCGTTAATATAATTAAAGTTAAACAATTAATTAATTAAAAATGGTTTTACCGTATTAATTCTTACTTACTGTTATAATAACATTTTAGATGAATTAAACAATCCAATGTTTCGATCGTATTGATGTTTTACAGCGTTGATAAAGTAAGATCGAGATTAATCAGTAAAACTCAGCGTGAACTCGATATTTATTTAAAAACAACTTTGATCAAGTACGATTTTCATGACTGATTCTTATTAAGGAAATATGATCTATTCCTTATTCTTATTTCTCCACTCATAGTACTACCGCAAGCAACAACCAAAGGACAGGTTGCCATCGTCCTTACGGATCCATCAGATCCAATAACCTTTGCATTAGACGCTTTCAGCTCTAACACGAGGAGCAGGCTTAGGGACCCCGGTAACCGTACTCGTCGAATTCGACAAAGAGTTCGCCGTGCAACCTAACCCATGAATCAGCTCGCTGAGTTTCTCGCCGGATCTTCTTAGCGGGTCGCGATTCCGTTCCGGTAGTAGATTCATTCGCGAAGCAGCTACTCTTGAGCTGTTAGGTCTCCTTCGGAGACGCTCGGGCAGCTGATAGCAAATCCCACCCCTTCTGGCTGAGCCTTTGCTCGCCCACTTGTCCTGGTGAAACTAGAAAGGCCTCCGGGCCACCAGTTAACCTTCAATTATAAAAAAAAAGGTTGTCATATTCGTCGAAACCTTCGACATGACGTTTAGCGTTTAGTTTAGTTTATTAGTCCGCTGTTTTGTTTTATTATTATTATTTTTTTGCTTAGATGGTGGACGAACTCACGGCCCACTTGGTGTTAAGTGGATACTGGAGCCCCTAGACATCTACAACGTAAATGCCGCCACCCACCTTGAGACATCAGTTGTAAGGTCTCACTTTTAACAGTACAATGGCTGCCTCATCTTTTAGACCGAAACGCAGTACTGCTTCACGACGTGGTGGTACCTACCCGTGTGGACTCACAAGACGTCCTACCAATAGTAATTACGCAAATTATAATTTTGCGGGTTCGATTATTATTATATGTTATTCCTTCACCGTGGGAGTTAATCACGAACATTTGTTAAGTACGTAATTCATTGGAAAAATTGGTACCCGCCTGCGGAATTCGAACACCGTTGCATCGCTACATACGAATGCACAGGACATTCTTAGTCTGATTTTCTCAGCGGGTCGCTGGTAACGGATCGTTAGTCTGATCCGGTGGTCTGAGGCACCAAGCAGCTGCCCTTAAGATGCTAGACCTTTCTCGGGGGCATTCAGGCAGCTCTTAGCAAACCTTTCCTTTCCAACTGGTAGGGTACTGGTAGCTGTCCCACCATCTCAAAAAAAGTTCGGGACATGTATATCCACGTTTGATAAAAATAATATGCCTAACTTTATATGGGAAGATCTTTACTTCTGAACGAAAAACATTTAAGTGTTAGATCTGTGTAGTAAAGGGTATTTAAAAGTTTAAGAAATTATAAAATAAATAAATTATGAAGTACATATACCTACATAATTACTATAATGTACTTTCAACACAAAATCCTGATTCACATAAACTAATGTAATTTTTATTTGAACAAATTAAGGCTGAGCTCATAAAAGGTATTTTTCAAATTGATTTTAACCTGTGCGCTCACTGGAATAGGCCCGACACACACGGGCAGGTCGCGTGTGTGACGACAGCCGACACGCGCGTCAAGTTAAATATTATATTGTACGAAGCTGCAGACGTACGTCTATGTTTTTTAATAGCATTGAAGTATCCAGAGTTCGAAGTTAAGTGAGCTGTGATGGTGTTAAGCATTTTTTGTTAATGTTTTTAAAAATAATTGGAACATGTAACCTTGGAAATGAATACAAATTATGACAATATTATTACGAAGCGCGTATATTATTCAAGTTATTTTACTTTACTTTGGATTTGTGGATTCAACTAAGCAATAAAACCCAGTGATGAACCTGATGTTCACAGAAAAAATACCGATTTTTTTTAAACAAGCAATTTAAAATCGATAATGATCTACAATATCTACTCAGTACTAGTATGTTATGTACAAACGTAATGTAGCTTCACTAATGCTAATCCATGTACAGAACCGTCCCACGGTCCTAATATCTGCGAACCCTTCCCCTCTCGCGGGCTCGTTCACACCGCTACTCGAATAAAATTGCGTTTCCTAATTGTCTCACTGCTTCCCACCGTGCGCCGGACACGAGGCGCTTTTAAATTACTACGCTAAACATTCAAGTGATTTTAATCATAAACACAATGCAAAAAAGACTGTTTTCACGTAGCAATATTTGCGATTAAGAATCAGAAATATTAACATCATTTATTTCCCCTAACGATAAGCGATACTTTCTTATGCCTTATCGCACAGAGCTCAAAATTGCATATCAAAAATGCAGTTTCGATTTCGTTCAACTAAATCAGTTGTTGCTTACTGCGCGGGGTATAGAGTCGAAGTTAGTTTTTTGTAGATAAGGGATGGTTTGGATAGGTCGGCTTGTGTCGCACAGGGAGGCGGCACGCGGCACGCACTCCGCGGCGCTCGACCCACGCGCGTGCACGTGTCGGTTGCTGCCGCGACTTCCTCGACCGTGCGCACGTAGCTTTACTTCGCAATCATGAAATTATTACTGACCCAGATAATTTTTTCAGGCCAAAAGAATTTGTGTTAATTGATAACGTTTAGTGAATAATAACTATTTCAAATTTTGGAACTTTTTCGAAGAACTTTCGATAGTTTTTGTGATGTGTTTTGTAAATTTACTAAAACTTTAAAGTTCTTCATTACTACTGGCTTGTGAGTTTTCCACACAAAGCTGTTTTAAGCGATGGAATCTTATCATCACCATCGACACATGGAGCAGAGTAACCTGCAAGGTCAAACTCAGAGTTCTCAGTGGGGCTATGGGTCATGGGGTCCACCGGCCCCTGCGCCGGCGCCACCTCCTCCGACCTCACGCAGTAAACGGGCACACTCTGAAAGCGAAGACGATGCTTTCTCCGAAGAAAGCAGTAAGGATGCGCAGTAAGTGATCACATCAAATATAATAACATTTAAATTATAAAAATAATTTAATTACATAGTGACAAATTAAATTAAATTATATGTTTTTATCGTGACAGGATAGTTGCAAAGATCTTATTTCCAATTAACATAGTGTGACATCTCATGAAAGGCTCGCCATGTAAAGTACGCAATATTGTAATAATTAAACATTAAAAAGGTGTAATATTTTAATTAAATTACGTCATCAAGGGCAAATAACACGATATTATCCTTAAATTTGTTTAGTAACAGAGGTACGGAACAGTTCTGAAAGCAACCAGCTAAAGAAACTGGCTTCCACATCTTTCCTTACTACACATTTCAAAACACACATAAAGAAAAACAGTAAAAAAAATCAAATAAGTAAAGTAATGAAAATGTTAAGTGAATTTTGTATTATGAATTTATGTGTATTTGGTGTGCGTGTTGTAACGTTATTATGTTTAGTTTCAATAGAGCAATGTACCTACACTCTACAAATTAGTTGATTGACAAAATGTCATTTTCGAAATTTCATAAAGTCCATACTTTAATGTGGTTTGGTTTAAGCTGCTACGCTTTTCTAAAGTTAATTTACATTCATGGAAGTCGCCTCGTAACCGAAGGCTACGCCGCGCGACCGTAGACAGCGCTACGAAATGTTTAATTAAAGCACAAAAGAACATTATACTAATCAATTACAATGAACGGTTATCTTTGTAATTATGTGCTAATAATCGGAATTTAGTATTGTAAAAATTATAATACTTTGCCGTTCTGAGCTTCTAAAGCTGAGCCTGCGGTAAAATGTCGATAAAAAAATTAACTCACATTATATGAAACGACCCGCGCGCCATCTCCATTTTTCTTACTTTATTAATAAGGAAATATTCTCAATTAAGCATAAACTATAACTGTGCAATGTTTTAATCTTATCTTATATCTTTAAACGAGCAATTCTTGTATATAAATTTAATTATAATCTGAATCTCGGAAACGGCTCCAACGATTTTCGTAAAATTTAGTATACAGGGGATTTCGGGGGCGATAAATCGATTTAGTTAAGATTTATTTTCAGAAAATGTTGTTTTATTCGTGTTTTCAATCATCAACTTTGTCGATAACCAACTTAAACATAAACTTTTTTTTTTTATTGAAAGATAAGAAATAATATAATATAATATCAATATTATGTAATTCGCAATTAAATACAATTTCTAAAAAAAAGAATATATAAAAAAAAAACGACAAAAGTACCGAAAAATCGGTCATCCTTTAGTCTATTCTAATGAACGAAGCGCGAATGCTCACACGCACGCATGCAACACGAACGGACAGACAAAATCAATACTCGTCTTAAATAAGTTCGTTTTTACATGGAGAGCATCTTACAGCCCGCGTGATCTTAAATACCATCGCATAAACAGTGGCAATGCCAATGACACAGCTGTGTACCCCTTCTTCTTCTTTTTCTCCATCTTATCCGACTAGGTGGGGGCACAGCTAATTTTTCTCTTCCATTCTCTTTTATCAGCCGTCATCTCAACACGCATTCCTCTCTCTCTCTCATATCGTCATTCAATCTGCGTACCCCTGTAAATATACAAATACTGCTATGCTATATTTTTACATTTAAAGTTGAACGATCCCCGTTGTTTCTCCAAGGTCACCCGGGGGGGACTCTTGTCAATTAATGACAAGAAAAAGGCGACGCGGCGTGATAGAGAAGAAACGCAGAGATCGGATCAACACATCTCTTACCGAGCTGAAGAGGCTAGTGCCTGCCGCGTGCGAGAAGCAGGGCAGCGCCAAGCTAGAGAAGGCGGAGATTTTACAGCTGACCGTGGACCATCTCAAGATGTTGCACGCTAAAGGTTAGAGTAGCACACTAAATATTTTCTTCGATTATGGCGATTTTTTCTGGTGGTAGGACCTCTTGTGAGTCCGCGCGGGTAGGTACCACCACCCTGCCTATTTCTGCCGTGAAGCAGTAATGCGTTTCGATTTGAAGGGTAGGCCAGCCGTTGTAACTATACTTGAAATCTTAGAACTTATATCTCAAGGTGGGTGGCGCATTTACGTTGTAGATAGATGTCTATGGGTTCCACCAGGTTAACACCAGGTGGGCCATGAGCTCGTCTACCCAACTAAGCAATAAATAAAAAAAGAATCATATACATAATCAAATACCACTTTTACAGGTTAACCTCGGGTTCATTATTTTCATTTCATTATTTCCGGTATTTCGAATTCTTTACAGTTTTCGTGGTCACAGACGGAACACTGTAATTAAGATCTTCTGACCGATACAGAGCTTTGAAATAGTCTAGACAGATGTACATCGCGATGATTTCACGACCAGTATGGTGTAAAATAATTACTGGAGATCATAAACATCTTTTTTTAGATTTTTTCCTACTTATTCGCTGGTAGCCTAAGAAGCTATTCTAGCTAATCATAAACATCGCAACGTGATTGCCTACCTTGAAACATGAGGTCGTTGGGTCATTTGTACTGTATAATGACTGTCTCAACCTTCAAATCAGAATACATGATTGTTTCGCGAGAGAAATAAGCAGGATGGCGGTACCTGCCCGTGCGGCATTACAATGTGACTTACCACCCGTAAAATAGTTTTTAAGTAAATCAGCAAGAGCCCCATAGGTATGTCAGTATGATCCTAATTGTAAATTCTGTTCGTCCCACGGATTTGCTCCAAGAAACTAATGGAAGTGAACCTACATCTCTTCTTAATTTTTTATACATAAAAAAAGTTAATTGCGGTAACCTGCCAGTTAACCGTTAGCTTCCGTTTCCTCTCAACACAAAAGACGTCCATAACGGTGTTGCCAAAATTATAAAAAGCAGAAAAGCAGAAATAATAAAAAACAGTATTCTATTCAAAAAAATACAGTTGCTCTCGCTCAAAAAGGTCTCTTCAATATCTCGAAATAAAAATAAAACGTTACTTCGTCAGTAGATCGATTTAGTTAATAGTGAAAATTTGTTTGGAAATTTTTATTCTTCCGCAAATAATGCTCTTAAAACTCAATTAATATTGCTGATACATACAACGATTTAGTATAAGCTTGGGAAGTCATTGATGAGATAGAGAAGACGAAAAAAACACGATTTCTCAATGAACATAATTGTATTTATTTTTTCTCACGAATATATTAACGAAAATTATACAAGCAGTTGCAATTCAATTATTGGAGCATAAAAGTAATTTCATAAATTAATAATTCTCGTGAATATGAGGACAACATAACAGACTTCTATAATTTTTTGCACAATAAAGGGCTAGAGTCGATGTACTCGTGGTCAGTTAAAGTCACCTCTGTGCTTGCTATTTTCACTTTGTCAGGCCGTGTTATTCTATTTCCTGTGCGTTATGAAAGAGAAAAAAAAAGAAGATATTTATTTAAACATAATAATATCCTTAATAGGTTTGTAAACTCAAATATCACACGAAAATTCCTGTTTTTAAAGTTAATGCGTAAACTTGCAAAATCTACACAAGTGAAGTATGTATATTTTTTGCCCGAGGAGTCGTCCTAAAGATACCTGAGCAACGGGAGCAAGCGTCTAATTAAAACCCACAAAAACAGCCCACATGGCGCGTCCGTAGCCACCTACACGGGGCCACGTTCCGGGTTCCCACGGTTCGTTTCCGGGTCGGGCGTCGAGCAGGTGCGCATTACTGCACACAAAGTTGCGATGCTTAAAGATATTTTACGCATTTCAACGTAAAAGGTTGACTTACATTCAGTAGCAGTGGCTACCGTTAGCATCGGTGAGCACACTTAATAAGTTTTACTTCAACAATTTACAACTCTACTACCGTTCTCGCGACATAATCAATTTTATGCAATAAAAAAAATTTCCATCTTTCTCTAGCATGAGCGTTAGAAGGGGATGTACGGTCCGTTAAGTGTCCAACAGCTGGTGACATCTAATACATAATGTATGCACATGAGCATTTCTCAAAATTATTGCACAATAGACTTTAGCCTCTGTCCCATTTTTTTAATATTTTGTTCCGGCTAATATATTAGATCATTACTACTTTTTATAAATTGTGTAAGCAGTAAAACTACTCTACTTATTAGAAAGGAAAAAAACAGACATAAATACAATGAGATTTTTTCATTAAAAATATATATCATAAATCAGCTTCAACCAGTTGTATGAAAAGTGCAGTGTCCTAATCTCAATATCTTACCAAACCATCGATTTCTAGTTGAATGGACATGGGCATTGCATAAATATAAAATATTATTTATTTATAGCCATAAGTCTCAATTCATCCTAAAACATCCTTTTTAGCATTACTTTATAATTAAATTTTTAATTAATGATTTTAACTTGTCCCGTAAAAAGTTCCACCTAGAAATTCCAGTTTTTGTTACCATAATTTTGAAGAAATATGAGAATCGATTAATACAATTATATTTAGAATAATGGTAGCACTAGCCGGCTTGACATCCGTCTTGTTTTAATTTCGACTAGTTCTTTCTGGTGCCGGTACGAACGGTAAAAGCCAATATTTAAGCTAGCGGTCAGAAAAAAATTCCACCTTTGTTACTCAAAAAACATAGGTAAGTGCAGATTTTATTGTTATTTCACTTAACCTACTATTAAAGCTCCCATTCTTGATTTCGTTAATCAAATCGAAATAAGAGTAATCGTGTGCGTTGCATGTGTTTACAAATAAAATGACATGTTGTTCTTGATTTGTTACTTCTTTTTTTGTTACTTTTGTGTGGTAACGTATAAATGGAAAAGAGAGTAACAAAATAGGAAATCATTAGGCTGAGTATATATAATATATTATTTAACTTTCTGTTAAAAATAATTATAACATAATTATTACAACTATGTACAACGGCGTCGATTTCTTTGTTTTGTTGTTGTACTATTACAGATGTGTACTATGAAATAGATTGGGAGGTTTTTGTTAGTATTTTTCTATCAGTTTTATTAGTTTATTTAAAAACAAATACGGCTTTTAAATATCTGCTTGTTTTAATCTAAAAGTGAGATCATGCTAAAGAGAGAACTACTGCATGATATTCCTTCTGATGTGGTGGGCTAAATTTCAAAATATCTGTTGTTCTGGGTAACATAAAAAAGGGTTCTTTTACACTAACACTATTGCTGTTGATTAAAAATACAATGATATGCATATTGTTTGTAACCTACATCGGTTTTGGATTAAACAACAATTAGGATTGATCAAAAAGACCATCAACTGCTTGAGCATGGTTACGCTTAATTTTGTTACAGCTCTCAATAAAAATGCCTCTAACCTCTGCTGAAAAAATGAGGCGGTACCGCGAAAGACTTAAAGAAAATCTAGAAAAGATGGAGGAGCAGCGAATACGAAACATAAAAATGATAAAATCTAAATATTTATTTAAATCACTAAATGAGATGTCAGAAGACGAAAAAAATAAACAAAGACAAAAGTGGTGTGCCTGTATATACACGTTGGCCTATCATGGCCTTTTTCTTCGACACATTTTATCAAGGCACCGATATGTTATTTCAGATTCGTCTAACAATCCGCTGCATTTTGTATCAAGTATGAACGCTGAAGAAATAAAATTTTGTAAGCAGCGGCTTGGCTCTGCCCTTGGCATTGCTGAAGTCCATGGGCGACGGTAACCACTCACCATCAGGTGGGCCGTATGCTCGTCTGCCTACAAAGGCAATAAAAAAAAAAAAAAAGAAATAAAAATATTATTACGTTGTCCATTTTTCTGGTGCCAAAGATGTGATTATGATTTATACGATCACTATCCAGCCGNTACATTTGCGTGTATACGGCTATCCCTAGTAGTATTGTAAACAAACTTCGTTGTCACTTCACTTCGCTCGAGGCAGGGTAATTAAGATTAGTGTTTACAGAATGCCAAATCAAGGTCATTCCATTGCGAATGCGAAGTGATGGAGAATTTCGTAGTGAGATGCGAGTTCTTGTTTGAATTTTAGAGAATCGCACGGCTGTTTTGACACCCCGCGCCTTTTACATTGGAATGAATTACTTTGTTGATAATTTAAATTTATAATTATTTGATTACATACTTTTTTTAAATTAATATTTACGTTTTGTTATAGTAATATAGCTTGGCTATTTACTACGAGTAAACTATGTTTTCTGCTTTCTAAGTACATATAATTTTATTTCTATATCAAGAGATTATTTGTACAACAATCATAAGCCACACAGTATCACTTTTCACGACTTTTAAAAGATCTTAAACAAACAAAAAAAACGGTTCCTAAAACATTCTACTATCAACCCTATTACCATTAAATAGAATTCAAATAATGTTTCACTATTGCAGATTGATACAAAAGCATATGGTCAAGTTTAGGGTCTGTCATTCAATTGGGTCAGGTAGTGAGCCTTATACCTTATACCTGGCGCCACAGGAAACCAATTATAAACTACTCAGTACATTATACTGCAGTCATTAGTTACGTCCTCTGATCCACTGCATACGGCGTGTCCTGGCTGGCACAGGTACCACATCTTCATAACTCTGCCGCAGTGCAATCAAAAGCTCCGGATTGAGTGCGTCGGCAGATATGACAAAGCTATGAGACTTCATTGTTTAAAGTTTTTATTTATTTATTGCTTACATGGTTGGATGAGCTCAGAGCCCAACTGTTTTTAAGTGGTTACCGGAGCCCATAGACATCTACAACGTAAATGCGCCGCCCACCTTGAGATATGAATTCTAAGGTCTCAGTATATTTACAACGGCTGCCCAACCCTTCAAACTGAAACGCGGCACGGCAGAAGTAAGCAGGGCAGCAGTAGACATTAATGTTTTTATTTCTCTAAATACTGCAGTAGCAGCCTCCTAACTTCATATGTGATATGGACTTATCTACTTATATTCGCTAATAAAAAAATTTAACTGATAGCAATTATAAAAAATAGCGTAAGTACCCACAAATAATGGTAATTCGCATAGATTTGCTATCAAGCTCTTATCATATCGTGGCGGGGTGCGTGGGAAAGAGGGTGGCTGGAGTGTCCCACCCCACACCCCCTGTAAAGCTCACTGTAAGTGAATTATGATAATTCCGACTGTCCCCAAAGATAGCATAAATGTAAATTTATACTTCATTGTTGATTATCACAGAATTTATAAAAATAAGTATTTAACAGATTTTTCATCTTAAATTTTTTTTATTGCTTAAGTAACACACCCACTTAAGTGGCTGTGTGGCGAGCTCACGGCCCAGGTGCTGTTAAGTGGTTAACGGAGCCCATAAACATTTTTTATTTATTTATTGATGTACAAAACAAATTACAATCATTACAGTACATATTAGCTAAATCGTACAAGTATTACCTAGCTCTAATCTGGATTGCAATCTCAGCGTGTGTATCTGCACTCAGCAAACCCGTATTAATGTACATAGCTTTGGCTATTGAATACAAAATGACAAATAAGAATTAAAAACTACAAATAAAAATAAAATTACAAGTTCCAGAAAAAAGAAAAACAAAACAAAAAAATGTTGTAGCCGCCACCCACCTTGAGATAGGAGTTCTAAGATCTCAGTATAGTGAACTATAATATAATTGACTATACAAATTTTTCGTGGTAGTTAGCAGTTCGCAACTGCAATTGTATTAGTCGTGTCTCCAATCCGAGAGGAGCTACATAGGTTCAACAAAATCTAAGATTACAAACGTATAATTAAAATCATATCAAAGCTCGGGTAGGTACTTAATCTGCATCTCTCATATCCGGAGCACGCGCTGTATTGTGCGCTCAGTGACAGGCGGAAGCGAGTAGCGAGAAAAGGGTTGTCACACCTGCGTTCCGGGCGCACAAAAAAATTGTGTTATTATTATAAATAGTAATGGTTCTGTCGGTACTATTTAGGTAGTTTTGCCGCAAAATTAGTCAGCAAAACGATGTTCCGCAATTTTTGTTATAATAACGTGGTTCTCCTTGATACATGAATTCAGAGGCTAAATTTGATGTTTCAACTTTTTCGTAATTTAAATAACGAATAATAACAAAATCCTAATAAATACATTTAACTATGATAAATATTTTGTTTCGTAAACACTTTATAGTGTTCCTATAAACTTCTCCATTAGTGTATCCATCTTAATAATGTTCGTTAAATCGAAAATTTATTGGAGCGATCTCTAAAACTGTAGCATATAAAAGACATCGAGGAACCGGAAGAAAGTAAAAACACAATAAAGGGGAAATCAATATTAGAATGTTTTATTAAAAAATAAATGAATTCTATAGATGTCTTAATAGATTTGAATTAATGACAGCTAGGCCATTACAGATCCTGGTAAATCCTAACGGCGAGTGGGCCGTGAGCTCATTCACTCATCTAAACAATATAAACTACATAATATGTATTATTCGAAACACTTAAAATTATTAAAGAAGGGTCAGTTTTGGTCTCTTCTACAAGTCGCGAAGACTTGTTTACGAATCCCGATCTCTCGCATACTCTTTGTCTGTGACAACGACATTAAACTTTACAAACTCTTGAAAACTTAAAATCTAATAGTTAATACATTTCTAGTTTGGTTTCGAGATAAGCCCAAGCAAAAATATGGGGCGTTATAAGAGAAGAATGCTCGTGACCAAGGATTTAGATTTTATACTCTAAAATAAATGATGATGGGACTCGTACAATTTTATATAACAAAATAAAGTGGCAATTTCGTTGAAGTGTTTGATTTGTAGTTATATGTAAAAACAGTAACTGTTACCCGCGACTTCGCCGCGTGGTCAAGAAAATGTGCTAATATATTTTTTTAAATATAATAATATAGTTTCCGGGGGTAATAAGAGTTTTTTGGGAGGAAATGTAATGTGATGTGAGTGGAAAAATGTATGTCACTCTCCTGACCTAACTCTATCACTTTAACAAAAACAAGACAGTCCATTTCTTCGTTTCGACGTAAAAGAAGGACAAACATACACCACTTTTAAATTTATAATATTAGTGTGGATAATAATTAAATATTTCATGGAATGCACAATGATCGAGCAATTATTCCACTTTGGTAATAAGCTGCTTAAGCGATGAATATTGGCTATCTATGGCTGATTTGACTGTCTATAGGCGACTGTGATCAGTCACCATCATATGGTGGTGGATTAGAAGGCAATGAAAAATCATTGTTTACCTTTAATCGTTGTATCCAGATAATATGGCACAAAGTCACCCTAACTTCTGTTAGGTATCTTATACTAGTCACCCCTTTACCTTACTCCAATAGCCCAGTACCCTACCCAAACATCTGAGACCTTCGATCCAAATAGAAACGATCAAGTGATCTTTACTGACATTATAGGGTGCTACGGCTCAACATGTTTTTGTTTTTTATCGGAAGAAAACCGGAAATATGGGGTTCCCGTTACGTTTTTTATATCTTTATCCCGCAAATACAATTCACTATTATCTTTCTCTGTCTTCCAGAGGGCTGCGTTGAATAGCCTGTTTTGTACTTTGATGTTTAAGATGACGATTCTTTTGAGAACAGTTCATTTAAATGCAAGCTTCACGTGTATTGCTATTTGACTCTAAAAATGGGGTAGAATATATTTTAATACGTATTTTTTTGTATAATAAGACAGCAGATGTGACCAATAAATAATCAGAATTTTGCACAAATATTTTTGTCACTCTTTTGGCTGTAGCTATTGTAAAGAATTCATTCTTCCTATGAGCCAACAGACGTTTACTGCTGCTTACTGATGGTAGGACCTCTTGCGAGTCCGCACGGGTAGGTACCACCGCCCTGCCTTTTTCTGCCGTGAAGCAGTAATGCGTTTCGGTTTGAAGGGCGGGGCAGCCGCATACTTGAGACCTCAGAACTTATATCTCAAGTGGGTGGCGCATTTACGTTGTAGATGTCTGTGGGCTCCAGTAACCACTTAACACCAGGTGGGCTGTGAGCTCGTCCACCCATCTAAGCAATAAAAAAAAAACATAGACCTCCCTCAAGCCTCGCCACAAAGACCGCTCATGCGCTGCCTGCTTCCAGCGGATCCCCGCAAACCTCAATGGGTCGTCGGTCCATCTTCTGGACTACCCAGGACTAGCCTACCCACGCTATGAAGAATTCATTACATTGATTTAATAATAAAGTAATAAAATAAAATTTTCATTCTAATCTTTTGTCAAGGAAACCGGATATTTTTCATGTTCATATGGAAGTCAGATTTCCGGTCGTGACATTGTACTGATATGTATGGGTTACGGTAGCCGCTTAATACCAGGTGGGCCGTTAGATGTTATCGATGTATGCTTAGCACAATATAATTTTTGAAGTCTTGTTCCACTTCAAGTAGTTTCAGTATTTTAGAAATGTTTAATAACATGTTTATATTTTTACAGGTCTGGACACATTTGCCTACGACCCTCAGCGATACGCGATGGACTACCACAGCATCGGCTTTCGAGAATGTGCAGCCGAGGTCGCGAGATACCTCGTTAGTTGTGAAGGTCTCGACATCCAGGACCCTCTGCGTCTTCGTCTCATGAGCCACCTCCAATGCTTTGCCGCGCAACGTGAGCTGGCAGCCAAGTCCACGAACTGGGGCTACCCTCAATACCCCACACCCGTGGCTCCTCAACCCCAGCATCCGACCGGTTACACGGAGCTGGGACACAGACAAGACTTACCTATAACAACTGCTTCGACCACCGTGACCGCTCCGGCGATTGCTGCACCTTTGTCCGCAGCTCCAAGTTATCCACACTACCCTCCCGGACCTCCAGCACCACCGGCTCCACCCGGCCCTCATCCGGCGCCGCCAGCCCCGCATTACCCTACTCCGTACCCTCATCCGCCACCCCACCACCAGTATTCACAAAACAGCTCCAAGCCCTACAGACCGTGGGGCGCGGAGTTAGCTTATTAATTGTGTATTTAAAGTGGAGTTTGCGCTAAGTGTTTGTAGTACAATTAAGCGCGTGTCATCTGTTTTTATAAACTAACTAGAAATCGATATGAGACATTTAACCAAAAAAATAGATTTCGTCGAATATTAAACAGTTTCTTTGCCAGAACACTGTTGTTCAGTGTGCTTCGTGCGAGTTTTTTAACGTTCTCGATAGCGTAAAAGTTAGCTCATATTAGTAAGGAATGGGAACGTTTGCCTACGTTTGCCGTTAGGGGCGCTGTTCCAACTACATACAATACTGGCTTAACTTTTACGCTATCGAGAACGTTAAAAAACTCGCACTAAGCACACTGGTCTCATAGATGTTCAGTGGCGGAGGATAGCGGTTCCTACCAGTGTAGTTACCACTCAAACACTGGTAATAGTTGGTTTATTGAAATACGTGACAGGCAAACGTTGAGGGATCTCATACCTAAAGTCAAAATTATAACAAGAAAATCTTTACCGAGATGTATAGAATATAGTTTTATATACAAATGAAAATATTTTATAAGATTGTGTGATATTAAAATTAAAGATATTTACATACATAATATGTGTTTGACAGAAACGTGAAGGTCAAAATGTCGAAGAGAAAACTTAAATGAATACGGAACAAAATAGTTTTAGGGCCATAGGACATTTTGATGTGTTTTTGCAAATATTTGGGGACCAAAACGAAGCTTTAACTATGTGTTTGTTGAATGTGAGATTTGCTTTGACGATTTTATGTCAAAGGGACGTCGCGGTCTTTTGACGGACTTCCTACCAATTTAAAAATATCTTTGAACAAATGGTTGTGAAAGATTCAATTATTATAATGTACGTATTAAGTATTTTAAAGATTTAAAAAAAAAGGACTGAATTGCTGATCATATATTGCTGCATACTTAGAACTATCAAAAAGTTACTTTAGCTAAGCACTTATCGATAAACCGAATCATAATAGTTTTAATGCTAGGGATATATTGTTATGTTGGAAGCCTCACATAGTACTACAGGTTATATGGTACATAGTACATTCAATATATTCTAAACTTGAACTTTACTTATACAAGTCATTGTGTTTTCAGTGACCTTTAATAATAGCTATAGTTAAGATTGTTCTTTGCTTCAATTGCGAAATAAAACAGAATGAAATATTTTCTTTATTCAGTCACTCTTTTGAATGTCTCATTAAATTTTTGTATATTTAGTTTCAAGAAATAATTTTCGATTTTGTTTTGTAAATAATATTTTTTTATTTGTATATACGTGCGTGATCTAAAAATAGACAAAGGGTGCGAGAGAATAAATTATTATTTTTAATAAAACTTGGGATTTTTCTTCATAGTTTATTATACATAGAAGTTCGTTTTTTATGGCTTAGATACGGAGTTACTGGAGCCCATAGACATCTACGACGTAAATGCGCCAACCACCTTGAGATATAAGTTCTATGGTCTCAGCATAGTTACAACAGCTGCCCTACCCTTCAAACCGAAACGCATTACTGCTTCACGACAGAAATAGGCAGGGCGGTGGTACCTACCCGTGCGGACTCACAAGAGGTCCTACCACCAGTAATTACGTAAATTATAATTTTAAGGTGGACGAATCACAAACCGTAGTTGTGATAAATTGTAGTTACCGGAATTTAAATTCTGCACGCGGGCTCCCCTCCCCATACTTGTCGCTGTTATTCGCTCGGCTCCGATGCTGTTGGCATTTCATTAAATAAAATTAAACTAAACTCGTAACCTGAAACGTGACGTAGAAATCTCGACTGAATCGTTTAATCGCCCGCATGACGTTACTACGTTTGTGAAGTCGTCGTGGCCCAAAGGATAAGACGTCCGGTGCATTCGTATGTAGCGATGCACCGCAGTGTTCGAATCCCGCAGGCGGGTACCAATTTTTCTAATGAAATACGTACTCAACAAATGTTCACGATTGACTTCCACGGTGAAGGAATAACATCGTGTAATAAAAACCAAACCCGCAAAATTATAATTTGCGTAATCACTGGTGGTAGGACCTCTTGGGAGTCCGCACGGGTAGGTACCACCACCCCGCCTACTGAGACCTTAGAACTTATATCTCGAGGTGGGTGGCGCATTTACGTTGTAGATGTCTATGGGCTCCAGTAACCACTTAACACCAGGTGGGCTGTGAGCTCGTCCATCCATCCAAGCCATAAAAAAAAAAAAAACGTACATGTAATTCAATTAATATTAACTTACCTCTGTAAATTAATTACATGATTTCGCATACAAATAACTACCGCTAAACGAGTTCGTCACTAAGCATGACGGTGACATTAAGCACAGGTGCGAAGGTAACTGTTCAACGTCGTTCAGTGTGACGATGATGGGGTGAATACCACCGATGCGTAGACTAGGAGCTAGCTGCAACCTGTTGATCAATAACCATTTTGAAAAGGTCGATAGCGATTTATTTAGGACATTATTTTGTCCTGTCATTTAAGAGATACTAGTTTGTAATATTTTCTGAGGTCTTCGTGAATTGTCGATGTATTTAGAAGTACTTTCTTGAAAACACTAATATAAAAATGCTAACAAGAGAGTTTGGCTTACCGTATGTTAATTATGATTAGCCTTCGTGGCGTGATTAGCCTTCGTGATTAGCCTTCGCGGCTTTGAGCGCGGTGACTGAATTAAGAAATTCCGTAATGAAAATAAAACCTAACACCCCCACTCCCCCTATCGTGTAGCTCGCGTTTAAAACATTCGCACGTTGCGCTTGTGTAGTGTTTACGAATAAGCGCGCGGCGTGACGTCGCACTGCATGAGCATCATGAAAAGTCTGCCCATCTCTCTCTCGCGCGCTTTAGCTTATGAGTTTAAAGGGGACAGTTAATGTTTTGCTTTTGTTAATGTTTATAAATATAGCGTGGTCTCATTTTATTATTGTTTTAATATTAAATTATTATTGTCTAATTATAATTGCATAAGCTGATAAAAAATGCTACGCAATAGCTTTACCGCGGCAATCCCCGAATGCCACACGTGTTTTTTTTCACTTGCCAAATCAACTTGAGATACGAATTTTAAATCTCAGTTCTATAGAACGGCTGCTTCACCCTCCAAACTAATAAATAAATAAGGCAATAGTGTGTATCATCAAGTGAGCCGAGAGCACTAACTCACTAGTCCATAGAAATCTCCTAGTGAATGCGGCCACACCACTTGAACCTGTTAGCAAACCCCATCCCCCTGGCTGAGCCTTTGCTCGCCCACCTGTCCTGGTGAAACATGACATCATAAATGGCTTGAACTCTATATCGTATTCGGCTTCAGTGTGCTTATTGCGAGTTTTTTAACCTTGTCGATCGCGTAAAAATTAACTCAAAAATTTATGGAATTGGAACCTTTGCCTATGTTTGTTGCTAGGGGCGCTATTTTCAACTTCATACAAATATGAGTTAAGCTTTACGCTATCGAGAACGTTAAAAGACTCCCACTAAGCACCCTGTTTCGTCCGCGCCGATGATCACCTGTAACAACTATCTCGCTGATCGTCCAAAGTACAATTACATCGTAGTTATTTCTGATACGTTACTTCATTTAATTACTGATATCCGCGTTTCATATCACATCTGCCGCAGAGCTACCATATCTTTTGATTTCAATATCATTTTTTTAGTATCTAAATTTCAAAGTAAAGCATATTTCGTTATTACCATATCTTACTAACATTCTAATATTTAACCTGTATTTGCTTTATAAAAAAACTAAAACACAACATGACATCCCAAACACTAACATCACTAGCTCCTTGTCCACATGAGGGTCAAACACGACCGTCCCACTGCACCAACTATGGGATACTTCCACCCCTGTGTTTCCCACGACCGCCGTCGCTTTCCTTCGTGAAATAAAACTATATTTGCGTCTCACTCTCGCATTACTTCCTCAGGAAGGGTGCAAAAACTTGACGTTTTTACTAGTTCGTGTGCTGATGGTTTTTTAGAAGCGTGTGTTGACCTTTATGTAGTGTGTTAATAATTTAATAAATTGATCACTTAGGGAATATTTTTGTTTAGGAATAAACAGTTTGAAGACTATACGCTACACGAAAACTAAGCGTCGGTGGTTTCTTGCCCTGAACTACGATTTCCGAACAAAAGGTGAACTTTGATCTTCTCGTTATTTACAGCGAATAGACTGGACACAGCAGAATTGGTTCCTAAAACAAATAAAATACGAAACACCCGTCTGTATTTATTATTTCATGAACCAAATAAAGTAATGTTCGTAAGTGTTCAAACTAGTCAGGCGTACGGAGACATATTTGAAATGAACACATTCAACCACGGAGACCGCACACATTACGTCCACCCACGCGGCGAAAAGGTCACATAATACACTTATCAAATATACATATTCTCTTTATGATTTTATTAAGAAGGTACTGTCTGGAACTAATATGCCTGTGTCTACACTGTCTCGCTGTACATTGAGTCATTGTGTCTCTAAGGACAATACAAGCTATATATTTCTCGATGTTGCAAGATATTTACTGGTGGTAGGACCTCTACCGGCGCGGGTACCACCACCCTGCCTATTTTTGCCGTAAAGCAGTAATGCGTTTCGGTTCGAAGAGTGGGGCAACCGTTGTACCTATACTTGAGACCTTAGAACTTATATCTCAAGTTGGGTGGCGCTTTTACGTCGTAGATGTCTATGGGCTCCAGTAACCACTTAACACCAGGTATGCTGTGAGCTCGTCCACCGATCTAAGCAATAAAAAAAAACATGGAATATTTGTAAATTCTGCTTTTTAGGTTTCCTTCTGAGAGAAGCGCCTTCTGAGCCCGCACGGGTAAGTAAAGCAATGAGGAGTAGATGTGATATTAAAAAGTGACACTTGGAATCCTATAGACACAGCTCACTGAGTTTCTCGCCGGATCTTCTCAGTGGGTCGCCATTCCGACCCGGTGGTAGATTCCGCAAAGCACTGCTCTTCTAAGGGCTAGT